CACCTTTGGTAAGTCTGCTGGGAAGCCTGAACATTTCTGACCCAGGGCCTGACGCATGCTGGGTCCAAGTTTCCTGACCAAATCTTAGCCTTCATTTTTCAGAAGCACCATGCAACATGTTAGAAAAGGCAGAGAGAAAACCCTTGCAGTCCACTCCCCAGCTCTCTGGGCTGGCATGCCTCTTAAGATCAGAATCTGCAGCCCCCATCTCCTGAGCCGGGGCCTGTTCGGGCCTTCGGGTCTAGTCTGAGCTGTAATTAGTGAGCTGGATCTTCACAGTGGCTGGTGAAACATCTCTCTCCCTGATCTGAACCACGCCACATGCAAAGGCAAAATTCACACTGACGGGCGCCCAAGTCCAGGCCACCAGACACAAGGGTCTTTCCGCTAAGGCACCTGTGAACCATGACCAGACTGAAAATACCTCTCCATGCCATCACCAATGAGCTCCTCGCCATCCTCTTCCTCCTCAACGGGCCCCTCAGTGCCCAGCAGCCCCTCAGACTCATCCTCAAACGGGGGGAGATCTCTGCCAGGGCTGGAGGTAAGGGCATCGGCACGTCTGGAGCTGCGGCCTGGGCTGGAGGTGAGCGGATCACTGACCCGTCGACGCTGCCGGGCAGGGCTAGATGCTGCCGAAAAGGACTCAGAAGACTCCTGCAAGAGAGGGTGCCATCAGATGCTGGCCTGGTTCCCACGGAGCCTTTGCCACCAGCTGGCTGTCACCTGTCCACCAGACACTGTTCTCAAGAACACGAAAGCCCTTCAGCCTTGAGTCCTTCCCACTTGCTGGGCCCTCTGCCTGCAAGGATCTGGGCTGAGCCAAAAGCCACTGCCTTAAGTACTGGGTCAGTCAGATCATCCCACGTCTCTCTTATGAAAAACCAAGGGGGCTATGCAGTTGTTGGTTGGTTGTTGTTTAAGCCATGTATCACCTACTTTGGCTCTGAAATGAGCACCCCACTCACGCCAACAGCCACAATATGCTGGGTGCTGGGACAAGTTTTTATTAAGAGGCATCAAGGAACACGATTCTTAAACTGAGCCCTTCACCCTTTAACAAGTCAGAGAGTCATGAGAAGGCAAACACTAAGAGCAGGGAAGTCGGGCCTGACGTCAGGTATGTGATCCCGAATACCCATAAATTGAGACCTGAGGATCGCCAAGTTCAAGGCTAACCCGCACTACAGAGTGAACTGAAGATCAGCCTGAATGGCTTTGTGGCTTAGTGAGAATTTTTTTCTTTCTTTTTTAGTTTTTCGAGACAGGGTTTCTCTGTGTAACAGACCCGGCTGTCCTGGAACTTGCACTGTAGACAAGGCTGGCCCCGAACTCAGAGATCCGCCTGCCTTTGCCTCTCGAATGCTGGGATTAAAGACTTGCACGCCACCACCGCACGCTGTGAAACCCTTTCTCAAAACAAATGGGTCGGGGTGCATGTAGCTGTGTGGTGGCGCTCCTTCCCTACACGCGCGAGGTTCTGAGTTTCACTCCCTGCACCCTCACCACCCAAAGTACACGAAGACCCGGGGCCTAGGGACACACGAGGAGCGCAGAGACGATCCGTCTCGGGATAGAGCAGGTAGCCCTGCACTCGGGCCTGCTGCTGGAGGAAGAGACCCGGCAAAGCAAGCGGAAGACGCCGAACACCACCGCCCGAGAGCAGCCCGCTACTCACCGCCATTTCCGCGCTAGCTCCACCGCACCAGCAGCCCCCCGTTTTCGCGCGAAAACTGGATCACGTGACCCTCCCTAGCCCGGGAAGCGCCCAGAGGAATTAGACGTCACGACGTCTGCGTCTATCTAGGGAGGGAGGAGGACTAGTAGGTCACGCCTACACCATGTGAGGCCCCGCCCTATTCCCTAGCTCCAGCCCACAACCTTCAATAGCTTGCACCCAGGTCGCTAGTACAGCTGGGCTTAGCCCTCCAGGGTTTATCACGGTGAAATAAGGCTGGGTCGCTGGTGGTTCTGGAGACCAATCCGGCCTCCTAGCTGTGAGACCTTGGTGTCAGTATGGCCACTTGATGCAACTGAGACTGTTTTCTGATTTCTTCCTCACTGGGTATCAACTTCTCCCCAAATTCTGAGGTTCAATCCTTCCTGCACTCAGGCGACTGTGGGCGCTTATCAAAAAGAGAATCGTACTTGGCTGGGGTGGCAAAGGTGCAGGAAGGGTGTTCCAGGTGGGCAGGATGTGGTGTGTGAAGCAGTGGAGTGCAGGTTGGAGGGTATAAGGGACCCTTGGTTCACAACTTGTGATGCCCAGGAAGGGGTGGGAGAGCTCAGATCAGAGATCTGCAGTCTGTCTAGGAGATGGAGCTCTGTTCTGATAGAAGGTCATCTGAGCGGGGGCGACGTGGGAGCCAGGGGGGTGGGTGAACCAGTAGCTGCCACTTATTGAGGTGGTCAGACAGGCTGGATGCTTCCAGTGAGGGGGGCTGCTGCCCTAGACAGCTGGGTCTCACTGGGATGGGATTTCCGCTGTAGGCACAGCATGAATAAATAGTTCTTGGTGCCTTGGGCTGAATAGTTCAGAGTAGGGCCGAGGAAGGACAGAAGGAAGCTCAGAAGGTGGGAGCTGCAGGCCTCATTCATAGTACTGGAGATACCCCTAGGTGTAAAGGATGTGTCTTAGGGAGATGGGTTAGTAGCATGGTCTCTGAGACAGGAACCCACAGCCCTTTTCCTGCTGGAGGTCTCCCCCAAAGCTGGAAGCCACTGTGCTAACTGGAGCCACGCAGGTAACAGCAGCAATCACCAGTGTGGAAGATGCTGCATCTAGATGACAGCGACTCCAAAGACAGGTAAAGGGCACATTATGTCACCATAATAGGATCTGGTTTTTGAAAAGATGACCGAGTCTGCCCTAGGCCACTAGACCCCTACAAGCTCCAATGAAAACAGGCCTTCAGTTTTTCAGCTCTACCCCGCCTCCCGGTACAGTCTCAGCGGTCACCACTCGCCTGCCCCTCCATGCCCACCCATCCTTACTAGCAGGATGTCATGGACAAGATAAACCAGAGCCACATTCTGCAGAGTCCAAGTGGCCTGGGCCCTGCCAGACCCTGTGACAGCAGAGGACAGGGGAGTCACCACAGGCCCGGAAGGACCGTGAAGGTGGGTTATCCTGTTCCCAGAATGGGGACGGAAAGAGGTGTGGTTTGTAATTTTAAAGATCAGAGCGATGAGTGACACAAGCATATGGAGGGTCCCAGTGCCCCAGCGTGCTTTAGGTTCTCAGGACTGGCTCAGCTCTTCACACCCTGTACTGGTAGATCCCCATTTGTGTGGCTTTCTGGATGCTACACTCTCTTGTGTATAAGGGACACTGCAGCAAAGGAGCCACTGCGCTGCTACCAGAGGGAAAGGGCATTTGACGGCCTTGGCTACTCCACAAATGACATAAAATCTCCTAGACACCTACACATGGAGCTCAGAATTCCAGAGTATGAAATGCAGAATAACACATTGTTCTTGGTTTTCTGAGACACTGTCTTGTTATAGAGCCCTGGTTGGCCTCAAACTTGAGGCACTTTTCCTGTCTCAGTCTCTTGAGCGCTGGGATTACAGGCAGGTAATCCCATCACACCTATATGCCTAGTGTGACTGATAATGGTGGTGGTGGTGACAATAGGTTGGCGGGAGGTGGGGAGGAGGGACCGCTCAGCAGTTATGAGCATGTACTGTCTTTGCAGACACCCTGCCTCCAATTCTTGTAGCCTTTCTCCTTGTAAGTATAGGACAGTGGTGCCCTGACCCCTGGAGGTCAGGGAGAGCCTAGGGCATGTTTTTGTCATTATTCCTAAACTCTTTTGGCAGGAATTTGAGAACTCTGGTGATTTTCTCTGCCACTGTGGCTGTGACAGCTGCTGTAGGCAGGCACGCTAAGACCAAAATTGACAGTGGAGTGGACCTAATCTGGAAGTCTCAGGGAACATTCCAGTCCCACTGTGCTGTCCTGGGCGATCCAGTGATCCTATAATAAACAGGTGCTTACACCTTCCGGCAGCACTGAGTCACCCCTCAAGGTAAGGTGCTGCTGGGATACACTATGGGCTGGGTCCTGGGCCACCGGATGCCTGAGAAGGGGCGAGCATGTCAATATCATCACTTGAGGGAGAGACCAGGAAGAGAGAGGATGTGAGAAGCCATACCTGAGAATCTGAGAAAACAGATACCCGGCGCACGCCGGGGGTGGGGGTGGGATGGGGGATGGGGTGGGGTGGGGGGATGGGGGGAGGAGGCGGGGCACAAGCTTGAATATCTACAGGGAAGCTCGCTCGCGTGACTGGCCCAAGTTCCCAAGTTGTGCAAGATGGGCAGGAGGTGGCCTGAAATGAGGCCAGGCCTCCAAGTTGCCCAGGGGGTGTCCACCACCACAGCGACGGCCGTGGGAGGCGGCAGTCAGGGAAGGTGTCCCTCTGGAAGGCACCTGCCTACGCGTGAGATCTGGCGTGTCCACTTCCTAGTCTGATGGCTTTGGACACATTCCTTAACCCCTTCAAGAAACGTCAAGTTCCCTCTGCAAAACACGACTAATAGCACCCAGCCTTCAGGGTGACTGGGGCCGGGACCTGGAGCCCTGTAAACGCCAGGTCCCTTTGAAGTGGACAAAAACAAGGCGTCCGAGGAAGGGCCTCCCTCCCTTCCTTCCTGGTCCAGGTGACCAGAGGTCACTTTTGCCGGACGCAGGTCCCCAAGGCTCCACCTTCGGAGAGGTAGGGCGAACCGGTCGGAAGACTAGAGCTGACCGCAGGAAGATGCGGGACAAAAGCAGAGCGTGCTCGGTGCGCTGTCCCGAAACGTTTTAGGGGTGAGCAGTGCAGAGATTCTTTTCCCGGTAGAAGTTTCACCCACACTTTTCTTGGGGCAGCTACAGACTTTCTGTAGACCCTTTAAGAGCTCCGCGGGCCGTCCCGCCCTCTGAGGAATTCTATTGGTCTGTTCCCCTCTGGGCGGGACTTCGTTACGATTGGTTGCTGGAGGCCGGGGGCGGGGCTGAGTGCCACAAACAGGGGTCGTGACTGTTTTCGGAGCCTTGCCTGGACGAAAAACACCAGCCTAGGCGCCTGCCAGTCGCTGCTGCCGGGAAGAGCCAGGGGAGTCCTGTGGTCCTGCGGGTCCTGCGGGTCCTGCGCGCTGGCGGCGTCCGGCCACCCGCGACCGACCTGAGTAGAACCTCAACCGCGGCTCTTGCGCGACGCTCCCCGGCTCTCGCAGCCCACTGGGGGTCGGAGTCCCGCGGCCTGCGCAGCCGGGCTCTCAGGTAAGGGCTGCGGGGTCTTCATCTCCTGTCGCGCCAAGCTAACCAGAGGCCCAGCCTCGCTCCTTCCTCGGACTCGGGCCTACTGTCCTCTCCAGTCCCTGTGCCTCTAGGGGTGCGGGCGCAGGACAGCCTTTGGGAAGTTTCTAGGGACCCTAGCTGTCAGGACTAGACCCTGAATGGAGCTGGACACCGGCAGCTCCAGGTGCTGCCCGAGCTCAGCTGCAGCCGGAAAGGACAGCCGGGGCTCTGCCTCTGCCTCCCTGGCCTTGCGGAAGGAAGGGACAACTCCTCTCAGCTCCGTAAGGAAGAGGGGATTGTGGGGTATGGGACACTGACCCCCCAATCCTTGTCCTGCTTGGTTGTTTGCGTTGTAACTGGAAATTTGTGTGCGTGGTAGCATTTTGTTGAGCTCTTATTCTGTGTTTCTGTTCTAGGGGGTTGGGTCATGAGGCCTAGGACAGACAGACAGAAACCATGTAAATACATCCGCTGCCGATGGAGGCCTAGTGCGGTAAACAGCATACTGAATAGCTGGGTGGTGGTGGAGGGATTGGGAGCTGGAGGCAGGAGGATTATAAGTTCAAGACCTGCCTTGACTGCACGCTGAGTTGGAGGCTAGCCTGGACCCAATGATACCCTGTCTTACAAACAAAAACAAAAAAACCCAACATAGTGAAAGAACACCCAGGTGGGCTAGAGATGCTGATGTCCACTTTGGAGGGGGAGGTAAACACAGAGTCAAGAGATGAGGTCAAACCCGGGGAAGATAAGCAAAAGGCCCCTGAGGTAGGTAAGACAGAAGTTGGTGGGAAGAGAAGGGCAAGAAGGATTGGCAGGGAGCAGGTCACCAGGACCATCCCTTCTTCCTGGTGGCCACAGTGGGCAGGTCACCAGGACCATTCCTTCTTCCTGGTGGCCACCGGGGCCCCTTTGGACAGAGTCTCTTCTCTGTCACCAAGGCTGACAGCTTCAGGAGTGGCATTGGACTTAGCCTCTATCTTCTGGAGATTTCCCATGCTGCTCTGCTGCTAGATTTAGAGGCACAACAGCCTGGGAGGGAAGGGAGAGAAGCAAGTGTTTGGGGCTGCTTGCACTGCTACCCTCCCGCTGGGTAGGGGTCCCATATAAGAGCTCAGAAGGTGTAGGCAAGTCTATTGCACAGATGGGAAAGACAAGCTCTCTCAGCCTCTACCAGGGCAGGGAGAGAAGGCCCTTGGAGTGTGTGGGGGTGTGTGTGTGTCAGAGTAGGTCCTAAGGCCCAGCAGGCTAGCCATAGAGAGTGGGGGGAAGGATAGGCCTGAGCCGTGGACAGGAGCTTGGCCTCTGGGGAATGCTCTGAGGTCAGAACTGCCCTCTCAGGTTCACAGGTGGAAGAAACTTTGCCTCAGTTCCCTGGTTCCTAGAGGCCTGGGCTCCCCCATGATCCTTTGCTACTCTTTCAAGATGTCGCTGCCCTTATCTGTCTCTGTCAGCCCTCTCTCCTTCCTCTTTTTCCTGGTGGGCCAGCTCCTTTCACTTCCCTGTCACTGCACGTGCCGCGAGGTCTGGGGAAGGAGAAGCCCTGGGTCCTAGGACAGGGGCAGGGTCTGTGGCTCCGCCAGGCCATGCCTGCCCTTCCTTCCTTTGACAGGGACCCTGATGGCGCTTGCCCAGTGTTCTTAAGAGGGAAGCACAGGGCGCCGAGCGTGTGCACTGGAAGTGTGTCCTAATGTGTTTGTTATCATCACTTCGGTTATTTTAGGAGCACAATCATCATGGCAAGGGCAGAAGTGCAGTGTGGTTGACTGTTTCCCAGCCAGGGCTGCCGGAGCAGGAATATTCTGGGTCGGGAGTTTGACCTGGCAGCTGCTGAGCTCTGCCTGCTCCGCAATGTCCGCTTACTTGTTCAGGTAGAGACGCTTACCAGAGGGACTGCTAGGTAGAGAACTGGCCAGGTTGCCAGGCTCTGGAGTGGATAGCTGGACTATGGGCAGCAGGTGGCCACACCTCTGAGCATCGTGGCTCCCAGGGCTGGGTTCCCAGTCCTACAGTGGAGTGGCACAGGTGGTAGCTGACACCTCTGGTCTTCCTTCCCTGCATAGCTGCTAGACCTTTTAAGGGCACCCGGATCCATGGACAGACCCCTACCCTCATCCGGCATCCATTCCTTCAACCCGCAGGAAAGTCATCTATGACCTGTGTGTCTTCTGTAGACATTTTCATAGCTTGCCTTATTTTGACTATCACAGCAACCCTGCTAGGTAGCTATGATTGTCCCTGTGACACACAGGAGGGAAGTGACTCACCCAAGGTCACACAGCAAGTAGGAGGCAGGGCCAAGAATGCCATTCTAGCTTGGTCTACCAATTCCATAACCTCCAGAAGCTGGGAACAAGGCCTGGGGACAAAGACCTGTTGTCACCCTAGCTGTTAGGCTGAAGCAGGAGAATCCCAGGTTTAAACTTTGTTAGCTTTCTCTCCAGAGCTCCAGCCCAGAGTTTCCTGCTGATCTCAGCAGGGAAGGTTTTCACTGGCCAGGGTGCGAGGAGTTTCTGGTTGGCCAGGCTTGGACACACTTACGTTTCCTGACATTTGTACTGTGTGAAGTTTACCACATTAAACCCCTGGACACTGCAGTGGTGCTGAACTCCCTTGGGAAAGTGGGGCGTTCATGCTGTCTGACCCCTCTCCCCTTAACATACCTTTTCCACTCTAGACGGTTATAGTACTTCCTCCTGTCTCACTTATGTTCCCCTCACCTGCCCAAAGGAAATGCGACCCCGTCACCTCTTTGGAAAGACCCTTTTCAGTCCTTGGAGGGAGAAATTACATTGCCTGTAGGAGTGCTACTCCATCCAATCCAGCCCTGCTGACCGTGCTGATCTGTCCAACTGCCCCAACAGCCCTGGCTGCCCAGCCTATTCTTTTTGGTCTTAGACCAAGTCCAGTTCTACCTCAGGGCTTTTGTATTTGCTGTTCTCTCCACGGAATGCTCTTCAACCAGTGTTTTCCCCCAAGGCTGACTACTCAGTCACATATCATATTGACTGAACACCGACCTAAATCAGCCTTTTCATGATCTCTGGAATTCAGCCTTAACTGTGAAGCAAGGCCATGCTAACTAGATAGGAGGCCGTTCCGTCTCGTTTTGTCAGTCTGTGGAAGCAGCGTCGGGTGTGCATGGAGGGACCCACAAAACATCTTCCTTGCTAGTTTTTGACTTTAATACATGCTTCTATCTAGTGGTCTAACATGGCTGCTCTTGTTCCCACCATCACATCCGTATTCCAGCCAACAGGAAGGAAGGAGAGCGCGACCTGAAACTGGCGAGTCACACTCCGCTGGTGTCCTTGTGGCCAGCCCGTCCTGCACGGGAAGCTGGGGAAAACAGACTGAAATCCAGGGTTCAGCTGGTAAGAAGTGTGAATACTGGGGACTTCCCTCTCTGTACTGTGTTTCTGTCACTGTGTCCCATTCTGTCTTCTCAATGCTTGTCTCCAGCGGAAGTTTGCTTTTTAAGTCCCTGGGGGAAGACCTTGTCCCTGTCACATCTGAGCAACCCAGTGAGTTGCTGGGTATACCAGACACATGCCTGGTCAGATCTGCAGGGCATGCAGATGGGCACACGAGTAAAGAATAGCCGCTTTGTTCTCCTTTGCCATGATCAGGACTGGGGAGAAGCCAGCTTCTTTTGGGGGTGTCTACTAGGAACCAGGTACATACTTACCTCCTTAGTCTCCCCATCAGCAAGCTGGAGGTGTAACAAATCAAAGCCAGGGCCTGGCCTGTTGCAGAGAAGATTGGGGGCCCTGAGCACAGGGGGTTTCCTGTCCCTTCAGGAGAGGTAGCACTAGAATGTAAGGGATGAAAATGTCCCTGAGTCCCCCAAGTCTCTTTCTGCTGCTGTTCAGAGTTGTTATTAGTGAACCCACAGGGGTGCAACACTCCTGACCAATCCTACCACAGATAGGTCACTAGGCCACAACCTTTTCCTGTGAAAAGCTTATGGAGCTTTTCTGATAGTATACATGCGTGTGCGCCCACGCCTGGGTGGAGTGCCTGGGGCTTAGTGTGCCACCCCAGTCTACAAAGGCAGTTCCAGCCATGGTTCTGTATCGGTCCCTTGTGGCACTATTGAGTCTGTATCCACCCACATCGCATTTGGGAGGCTCATTCATTGTGCCAGCAGTTTGGGCTTATTACTGCCATCTTGTGGTCAAAGGCTGACATTGCTTCACCTGTGTACATCCCCTGCCTGACTGCAGGCTGGTTTGGATAGAGATTTCCTTCATATCACTGACATAAACTGCTACCCATGAGTCCCGGGACTCAGCTTGTCCTGCAGCCATCCCCAGACAATCCTGTCACCAAGATTCCTCGTTTAGGGTTTTCTGCCCACCATTAGTCCCCTCCTTCCAGGGCATTCTAGGGACCCCAGATCCTTAGCTCTCTGATCCTCCAAACTGAATGCCAGACTTTCCTGCCCAGGTGTCCACAAAGACACTGGCCTCTGGGCTACTCTGGCCTCCAGCTTCTCCCTGTAGCCTGACCTTCTCAGGTGACTCTCTTGGCCCTCTTTGTGCCGCTGTTCCAGGCCTAAGGACGTCCTTGTGCTTCCGGGTGTCCTCTCCACCTGCATCTCCCTTTCCAGTGCAGCAGGGAGTTCCCCTGAGGACTTTAGCGGCTGTGTGGCTTCAGGTGGTGGGCGGGCTTTGCAAGGTGGAGTTGGGAGTCACATCACTTAGCCTTCTGAATACAATCCTGCTGGGGGCTGTCTGCATCACCATGGTCTCCCCAAGAGAATGCTGTTCTCAGTGCCATTCCAGAGAGGACACTGAAGCACCAGGAGAGCAAGCAGCAGGGACAGGGTGGAGGCCATACTCTGAGCACCTTCATCTCTGGAGACTGGAGGGACAATCCTGGCAGAGCCTGAGAGGAAGGACCAGCCCCCATCCAGCTTTCTCCTACTCAGCTAGTCCTAAGTGTGGCCTGCGCTCTGTACTACCACTTTGGTTTTCTCTGGGCACCTTAGAGGGAGGCGGGCCAGGGTCCTGTGCTCTAACTACACGGGCTTGTCTTCAGGGCCACTGCCGGTGGAATGGCCAGCCTGCAGGAGGCCAACGGAAGCACAGCGTGGCCACCGCCCGCAGCATCCAATATCAGTGAGCCCCACCAATGCCTGCTGCTGCTCTATGAGGACATCGGCTCCTCCAGGTGGGATTCCTGGCCCCGCTGAGGGTGGGCTGTGGCTGGACTGTCAGGGGTGTCATAGGCTGGGGGAGCTGTACCGACCTCACCAGTGAGCCAGCTTCTGTGCCCTTGCCAGGGTCCGGTACTGGGACCTCCTGCTGCTCATTCCCAATGTGCTCTTCTTCGTCTTCCTGCTCTGGAAGCTTCCCTTAGCTCGGGCCAAGATCCGTGTCACCTCCAGCCCCATTTTTATCACCTTCTACATCTTGGTGAGTTTCCTCCAGTCAGTGACAAAGAGCCCATCTCTGATTTAAGCACAAAAGGGAAAGAATGAATTGCCTCCATAATGAACATAGTGTTAGGTATGACTGGGTCCAGGGCTCTGCCTCTTGGTCTCTACTGCACTTGGTTCTCCCCACGGAGATGATGCCAAGGACTTTTCCAGTTGCACTAGGGAGTCCCTCTTTCTGGCTATTGGGGAGACTTAGTCTGTGCTTTGATTACCCCCCCAGGATCCCACAATCATGCCTGAGCCAATAACAGGCTAGCAAGGAAAGGGAAAAGGTCAGGACAGGCCAGCAGCCCATGCTGACTGGGGGACGCAGGTGGTCTCTATGGGAAACGGGGAACTGGTGCCAGAGGGGTGGGCTGAGTGCTGGGAGAAGGAGGGTGTCCACAGCAGCCCTGCCCGGTCGTCCGTCCTTCCACTGTGTGCCGTCTGTAGCAGGTTTGCCTGAGGAGAGGGCCTGTACTCTTCTGGGCCCTATGTGTGCTGCTTTGGGGATACCGAACAAGGTTGCACATGAGGCAGGGTCTTTAAGGGTGACCTCCCTGGATATATCCCCTATTCCAGGGTGTGGGCTTCTTTTCTCCACATGGAGAGGAGCCTGGTTGACTGGAATGTGACCCTGAGACTCTAAGATGTCACCTAAGAGCTGAGTGGCTCCCTGGGCCCCGTCTGGGGTCAGACTCTGAGCTTCCCACGAAAGATGGGTGGCGGGCATACAAGGAAACATGACTGTCACTCTCACAAGGTCATAGAGCAGGAAAGCGGCAGAGTTAGGTCCTGGCTGCCTGGTGTTGTAACCACGGGGACTGATGGGGCTTTGGATGGGCAGCAGTGGAGTTTTCCATGCCTGAACCCTGTGCTGGAACTTGTCTTCTTTTGTCCCGCTCTGACCCACCCTATCCCATCCTTGTCTAGTTAAAACCTCTCTCTCTTGAGTGGATGCTGTAGAAGTGAGGCCTTGTTGGTTCAGACACTACTGTCTTCTTCTCTTGTCCTGCAGGTGTTTGTGGTAGCCCTGGTAGGCATTGCCAGGGCTGTGGTTTCTATGACAGTCAGTGCCTCCGATGCTGCGACAGTTGCTGACAAGGTACGGGGTGGGTGGGTGTGGGTGGAGAGGCCAGCCTGGTGGAAGCTATGATGTGCCCTCTGTACCCTGGTCCTGTTGGAGAGACTTAGGGATGCCTGGCTGAGTAGAGCCCACTGCCATCTGACCCTGTGCCTCTCTGTGCCCAGATCCTGTGGGAGATCACCCGCTTCTTCCTGCTAGCCATTGAGCTGAGCGTGGTCATCCTGGGCCTCGCCTTTGGTATGTATGCTGCAGGGTTGTCCTCTAAAGTGTTCCCACTCTCCCTACCCTCCCTGCAGTTGTCCGAAGACGGCTCTTAGGAGGGGCTGACTCACCCCTGTGCCTTACAGGTCACCTAGAGAGCAAGTCCAGCATCAAGCGGGTACTGGCTATCACCACAGTACTGTCTCTGGCCTACTCGGTCACCCAGGTATGTGGTGGTGGTGGTGGTGTCAAGGGTCATGTTTCCCAAGGAGTCATGTGGACTAGGCAGGTCCAACGTCCCCTGGACACAGAGCATAGGTGAGTCTAGGAAAGGCTAAGGCATGTGTGAGAATGAGTGCCTAGCTGGGCACCCTGAGAGAATATGCTATGGGCCTTTTGTAGACTGGGGAGGGCTGCACCCTGAATGCTTTGTTCATAGGAACTCAGCCAGGGTCTGAGCTGCCCCTGGAGCTCGGCTGAGGCAGGGTCTGGCGTGTTAGCGTGCCCTGGGCTCTGCAGGGGAAAGTCAAGAGAGGCTCCAATGGTAGAACTGACCCGATCTCCTTGCCCACTGCAGGGAACTCTGGAGATCCTGTACCCTGACTCCCATCTTTCGGCTGAGGATTTCAACATCTATGGCCACGGCGGCCGCCAGTTCTGGCTGGTCAGCTCTTGCTTCTTCTTCCTGGTGAGGTCTGGCGTGCTCCCTGGGGGCAGGTGAAGTAGCCTGGCCTGGCCCGGCCTCCCTGTCACCCCTATCTCTGCAGGTCTACTCACTGGTGGTAATTCTCCCCAAGACCCCACTGAAGGATCGTGTATCCCTGCCCTGTGAGTACCTGATGGAGCAGAGACATAAGGGCTCTGGCCTGCTCCCGGCCTATAGCTGGGGATCCCAGGGGAGGGGAAGAACCCCAAAGTTCATACGTGAGCCCTAAGGGTAGGGTGGTTCAGAAGCTCATGACCCTTGCCCCCCAGCACGGAGGAGTTTCTACGTGTATGCAGGCATCCTGGCCACACTCAACTTGGTGCAGGGGCTGGGAAGTGCTCTGCTGTGCGCTGACATCATTGAAGGGCTCTGGTAAGAGGGTGCCCACCATGGGAGTGGGTTACGTATGGGGTGGAGTGGCTATCACTGTGGCAGGAGGGGTCCCTTCTCCCTTGGATAAGGCACTGGTTCAGAGCAGGCCCACTGGCCTCGGCCATGCTGATCTGCTCCCTGCCATAGCTGTGTGGACGCTACTACCTTCCTGTACTTCAGCTTCTTCGCACCGCTCATCTATGTGGCCTTCCTCCGTGGCTTCTTTGGGTGAGTAATGGCCAGACCTCTGTGCCTCTGCGGCTGTGTGTGCATAGCCAGGGAAGTGGGTGCATCGAGGGTACATCTGTGGAGATGCTTTCTCTGGGTTTGTGTAGCAAGCACAGACAGGCACTCCCCCCCAGAGACAGGGATCAGTTTAGCAGTGCTGTTCTATTAACAAGTACGTGCTGTGTACTAGACTGTGCTGTACCCCAAAGACAGCAGGCGAGTAAGGCAGGTGTGAGTGCACTCAGGGAGCCCGTACCTGGAAGGAACTCTGGGAATTAACAGTGAGCCCCATTTGGAAGGAGGGTGTGCTGTATGCATGGTTGTTTCGGGGGAACATCAGAGACTAGGATGCAAAGACAGGAACTGGCTCCCACCCAGGCCTGATCTGGTGGCGTGCAGGCAGGGTTTGCTCTCCTGTGAGGACTGGGATGGCCGACATGGACCATTTCTGGGAAGGCCTAGGAGCCAAGGAGGTGAGGCTATACTAGGCTGCTGGCTGCTCCCATGTGCACAGGCTGCTGCTCTCCTGAGCCTCTTTTAGCTACCCTAAAGATGGTGACCAGGTCAGGAGCAGGCAGTCATGTACTGCAGGCATGGGGGTCACACTCGGCCAGGATTGGTGAAGGCTTGGGTTTAGTGTGTCATCATCCATGGGGGCTAACACGCCCATGGTGGGGAGGTATTAAAGCTCTTGCCCTATCTCTCAGGTGTGGGTGGGACCAGCTTCAAAGCAAATCTTGGTGGGCTCAAGGGTACCTGTAGATGAGCTATGGTTCTGTCTGGCCTCTGCTCCTCCTGATGGCTGTGGCTCCTCTGCACTCTCTCACCAGCTCAGAGCCCAAGATCCTTTTCTCCTACAAATGCCAAGTGGATGAGGCTGAAGAGCCAGACATGCACCTGCCACAACCCTACGCAGTGGCCCGGCGCGAGGGCATGGAGTCTGCGGGGCCTGCGGGAGTCTCAGCAGCCAGCTACTCCAGCACACAGTTCGACTCTGCTGGAATGGCTTACTTAGATGACATTGCCTCCATGCCCTGCCACACAGGCAGCATCAACAGCACAGACAGCGAGCGATGGAAAGCCATCAATGCCTGAGTGGGCACCTAGGCACCAGGGAGGCCTGTGAAGACAGATGGGATCCCAGGTGGAGCAGAGTGCAGTTGAGGAACTCATGTGGATGGTAGCCCCGGGCAGGTGTGCCTACACCCCAGGACACAGGCTTCTTCCTGTTCTTCACCCCCAGTTCCCCTTTGCCACCTGTGCTCCAGCTTGGGACCCCAGCCTTCCCAGCACTACATTCCTGCTGGGGGTCCTACCTGCCTATCCCCTTGTCCCATCCCATAGCTCTCAGCCTCTTTAGCCTCAGGGCTGCAGTGTGTATATTTTCTCGATCTATTTTTTAATAAAAGCAAAAAGAGTAGCAGGTGTGGGCCGGTGCTTTTCAGCAGCAGGGCTATGCATGTGGTAGGGAGGCCCCCACCATGGGATATCCCCAGAGCTGGCTGTCAGGGCAGGGTGAGGGACAGGTCGCTGTCACTTGTTGGGAGGAGACAAATGTGAAAAGAAGGGCATTCTGGGGAGCTGAGGTCTCCCTACCATGTTCAGCGCAGTATGGTGGAACCTGTGGTCCCTTCCACCTCGGCTCCTTAAGCCATCATCTAGGGCCACCCCTCTCCAGTTATGTCACCTGTAAAGTAGGGGCAGAGAACCCATCTGTCTCTGTGCCACCGGTCACCTGCCACAGACACTCATTCGAAGTCTCTGGGACAGTGTGTTGATTGATATTGACTGAGGGTATAATGGTGGCTGAGAGGAACAGGTGGAAGAAAGTGCTGGGAGTGAGTGGGCTGGCATGGCGGCTCAGTGGTTAAGAGCACTGCCTGCTCCTGCAGAGGATCTGCATTTGGTTCCCAGTACCTCCAGGGTAACTAAAAATCATCCATCACTCCAATCCCTGGGGATCTGCCCTTTCTGACATCTTCAGGCACCAGGCATCTTGCAGACAAAACACCCATATACATAAAAGATAAAATCTCAAAACACTACTGAACCTGTAGAATATTCTATAAGGCCTGGTGTGGAAGAAGGGTTCAGTGTGCTTGGTGACCTCCAACTGACCCTGAGCAGGAGTCTGCCAAGGTCACAGCCTAGCCAAGTGGTCAGAACCAAGAGGCAGTCTCAGCTCAGCTGAGTCCCTACCTGCCCCAGTGGCTCTCCCTCAGGCCAGGAGGGTGCCAAGGACACAGCCCCTAACATTGGTTGTCAGGTGATAAGGCCTTTATGTAAGACCTCTTGGGACCCAGGCCCAGAAGGATAATTTGCATTGCGGATGACCTAGTATGGTCAGTGAGCTTCAATCCTGGTGGTGAGGGGACAGACCACAACGCTGCTGGATTCTCTGGGAGCTTCTTCCAAGGGGTACACTTGTGTGCCCTGTGGCTTACGTGGGAGCCTGGTGACTTATGTGGGAACCTGGTGACTTATGTGGGAGCCCCGTGGCATACATGGGAGCCCTGTGGCTTAAATAGCCCAGTGACTTAGATGGGAGCCTGATCTGAGGGTGCAGATAGCTTGCTCTCACTGAAATGATGGCAGCTGTTGGAACCACTAAGGAGGATTGGGTAGTCAAGTCCAGAACTGGGTGAATTCACATCTCTGCCATTTTGTGTGTGTGTGTGTGTGTGTGTGTGTGTGTGTGTGTGTGTGTGTGTG